CAAAAAATTAAATTTTAACAAAATGATTTTATTAAAAATTTGGAACTTAATTTTAAAGCTTATATATAAAAATGTGAAATTAAAGCATTTTTTAATAATAAATAAGTTTGAATAGAAGTCAAATTTCCAATTTACGACTTTGTTTATTTACTTATAATTAACTGAAAATAAAGTTTTTTTTTTAAAAAAAAGGATGGATTTTTAAGTACTAATTAATTTTTATTATTTCACAGGAAATACATGCATGCACATTTTTGTTGTTGCTGAAAGAGCTGATATTCTGAAATGTGTAAAATTTATTTTTCAGTAAAATTTGACTTTATTGACTTATAATAAATGTATAAAAGAAAAGAAAAAACCTCATTTATCTATTTTTCCTTCTTTTGTTTTTATATTTCACCAAATTAATTACAACATCATGAACTATGCAAATACAATTTATACATTTATATTAATCTTTAGTAATCTACACGATTACTTCCTTTTATTATTTTTTTTATCAGCGTTCTTACTTTCTCTCTACTTTTAGGTTATTGGTCTGGATATAGTGTTTCTATATTTATCAGGCATTCTTGGAATTTGATATTTGCTGCGTAACTGGATTAAAATACCGATTTTGACTTTTAAGCTTAAATGACTTGAACTAATTAATAGTATTATTACTCTGCTGCTTACAAATTTTAAATGGACTTGGAAATACTTGGAAGACATTTAATAAAAATAAATAACATTAATAAAAATAAATAACACGGAACATAATAGAATCGAAATATTGAAGATACTGGAATGTATTGCAAAGAGAATCATTGCTACTCGAACTTTATATTTTATTTTATAGCCGACCCAATTTTGAGTTTTGAACGCAATCCTGAAGACAAGGGAACTCCTGGATCAAGTATTGGGGGAAACTTGTCTTTGTGGAGGGCTTTTTGATGGAACTAATTCACATTTGCGTTACACGGTGGGGAAAAACACGAAAATCTCTTATGGTTAGTCTGACGGTAAAGGGACTCTAAAACATACGAAGGGACACTAAATTGCCACTGAGGATATTTAAACGTTAGCACTGGGGTCGGTGTGAGCCAGATGCGGAACTCGTATCGCTGGAATTCGAACTCGGGACACGAGGTGAGCTCTCTATTCCCTGTAGTCACTTCCGCTCTGCCACTCTAACTGACCGTTGCCACAAAAATCATTGTATAAATTCAAGATTTTTAAATAAATGCCACGTAGGTGGAGGGACTTTGTCGGGTATATAAGAAATAATTTGTATACGTGAGACTATACTGATTCTGAAAGTTATGAAATGCAAACAATGTTCAAAATTGCTTTGTTAAGGAAAAAACACAGTTTATATTAGCATTAAAATCTGCAGTCTCTTTTTTTTACTAAGTATTATATGTATACGATGTTTAAAGTTATCTTTTTAGAAGAAAAAAAAATCAATAAAAATCAGTATTAAAATCTACAGATTCACTGTTATACCGCGTGTTAACAGTAATCATATTAAAAAAATTGCTTTAAGAAAAAATAACGAAAGAAAAGAGTTAATCCATGTTTTATTACTGGTTTAATGCAAGCATTGTTTAACGTTGTTTTTTTTTTTTTTAAATGGGAGAAGAAGATTTTTTTATTTATTTTCTCAGAAAATGTAAGCGAGCACTTCCACAGGCATCCAAAGTAATGATCAGTCTTAAAAAAACATCTTACAAAATACATTTGTTTGGGAAAACGTCGCTTAATACCCAAGACCCTTTCAGGTAAGTGCTCAAAGTAAAATACCCAATTATTTTGTACATTTCGCTCTCCCAAGAATTCTCAACAGCGAATCAAAACTGGGTCCCCCTGCCGGACACATCGGGTACGAACCAGCGCCTTCTGTCCTGAGAGGTCAATTGCGCTGACAAGTCCCATATGAATAACCCGAATACCCCGTTAAAGAGGGAGATACAAAAACCTTCTTAGACATTCTAAAGAGATTACCAGTCGATACAGTAATCTGTACTTTTATCAAAATACTTATTTCAATTTACTTCATATACAATTCAAGACCAAAAGAAAGAAATATTATACAGTGTTTTACGTCTTCTATTCTTCAAATTACTTACCTACAATATTTTATTTACAGTTTTGTATATAATATGTCTTATTTATTCAAACACGCAAAAGTCACCGTTCGTGTATAAACAAATATCGATTTTCCCAAATTGAATCGCGCCGTAAAACCATCAAAGAAATGTTACTTCATTTCATGGAAGAATCAATACTTTTCGTCTAATTTAATGTGGACAATATACTTAGTCTTACTAGAAATACATGAATCAAAACATTCTTGACAGCACTGATAAAGTAATAAGATATTAAAGATATTTCCGGTAAAAAAATTATCTTGGTAATAAAACGAAAATATACGGTATTTTAATCATTCAATTGGTCATTTTTCCATTTATGCTATATTGATTTACAGGGAATTCCGGTTTTCAAAATTATAGCTCTAATTACAATACATTTAATAGAAAGAACAAAACAGGAAAGGAAATTTTACCGAATAAATGATCTTATGCTCTAAGCTATTATAATATTACCAAGTTTTACCACATTTACCAAACTGTAATTCATATAATAAAACAATCTTATATTGCTAATTTTATCAAAATCATTACCAAAGTGACTCTGAAAAATTTCTGAACTTTTTAATGCTGTCATAGAGCTAAAGACATTTTAAATTTTGCCATATTCTGGTAGTTTTGATCATATTTTTTTCTCCGTGTATGAAGAATTAAAAATTTATTTTTAACGAAATTTGATTAGAGAAGAATATAAAAATGCATCCTTTCGAAATAAAATATCGAACGTTTTAAGATAAAATAACAATTTCTATTCATTGTTTCATTTTTTTTTAAACAGAATAATTGTATGGTTTCTCGTATTTATTTTATTGAAGCAGTTTAATAGATAAGAAAGTGTTTTTTTAAGGGAATCGAGATATTTGAGAGGTCTTGAAATTTTGAATAGATTCTAGAATAGAAAATTCTTGATAGATTTTGATATTTAATTTCATATTATTTAAAAGAAATAATGCTATTATTTGTTTCATAATATCTGATTTAAAATATATTTTTTATTTGATTACAATGTAGGGTAGTATTAAGTTTCATTTTTCGCTAACTGAATTTCAAGAAATGCTGAAACTTCCCTATTACTTTATTTATCTAATAATTCTTTTCTTGTTTTTCCAAATTTATAAAGATGCATCTTGAAAACCAAAGATAATTCAAAGAAATATTGAATATTCATACTTGAAATATCTTATTTAACTTTGATTTCAGGAAATTGAGAAAAAAATGTATGGGTAAAATATAAATGCTTAATTTTAGAATTTATTTAGTCTTTTTCTTTTCAAAAAAAAAAATTCTTAATGGTCAAAAATTTTTCAAATTACTAGAAATAGAAGTCTGAAGATTTTTGTTCAAATTAACTTTTGCAATGAATTTTAATTGTAATGAATTGAATGCATTTTTGTAATTTTAAAATACAATATTTTGCCTGCATAATAGTTTAATTCAAAACTAAGTATACCATTAGAGTTTAATGAAATTTTTTTTAAAAAAAAACTCTTTATTTTAAGTTTGTTGCTCGGAAAATTTATTTACTTTCTACGTGAACAGCATTTTTGTATACTTATTGAATGGTACAATGTCCAAAAAATTAAACTGCAAACATTTATTTTTTATTTTTAAAACGTTGTGTTAAGGAAATGAGTAATATTGTTTTTATATTTAAAACAATGCTTTACTTAAATAAAATACTGAAGAAAATTGGGTCTCTATGAAAAAAAATTTAATTTATTCAGTAAGTTTCGGAAAGTCTGCACTTATTATGTATTTCTCACTATTCTTATCATTAAATGAAAATATAAAAAAATTGGGAGTCGGAAATTAATATTCTAAAGTTTTAAAAGTAAAAACGCATTTAAAATCTGACAGATCTTAGTACTGGAAGGCCGATGTAATGAACAACAAAACAGGTTTCATTGTGGGAGGAAACAGAGAGGGGTTAAAAGATGATTATTCGAAACACTTTCCAAGTTTCGACCTCTAATTAAACTTGCTTTGATATTTATTAAACCTTCACCTTTCTCTACTCTAATTAGATAGATTTCGATAGCATATTGTTTTCTCTTTGCCTAATTACTGATTCACCTATTGTGCAAGTCTTTTTTTTTTGTGTTCATTTTTGATAAGAACTCTAAAAATACAAAAAATAAATGAAAAAATACGACTAACACTAAATATTTAATATTTAAGCTTAACACAAATAAATATAAATATTAAAACTAAAAGAAACGCCAATAAATATTTAATAACTGTTTCAACTAAAAAGCAGTTAATAATACTCGCATAAATGTTTACTACTATCTTAGATTCCTACGAACAAGAAAATGTGAATTTTTTATTATACATATTTAACTGTTGGTTATTATCAAACAAAGCTTGTAGTAGATGCAAACAAATACTTGGTCAAAACTAAACCGAAACATACCAGCGATTAAACTACTTTTTCGAACCTAAAGAATGAAACATCGTTTTTTTTTTAGAAAAAAGAAACCTAATTAACAGACAGTAAACAAATAGTTATATAAATATTATTCTAGTAAGAGTCTTGGTACTCCAACATAAACATTTTTTTGGATTAAAACTCTTTTTAATTTAAGGCACATATAATTTTCTTTTCATGTTCAAAAAATACTGCATTCCTTAACTTTTTTAACTAAATGAACCGTTTCAAAATAGTCTTAAATCTTTTTCAACCAATTAATCCTCAACTACCTTAAACTTTACTTTCATACCGTTGTGAACGAAGAAAATCTTTTTTTTTTTTTTAAATTTCCAAAAATGAAATTGAAAAAATTTATAATAAGCAAGAATTAGAGGGCACTAAAATCATTCCAAACGAACGCAAAAAATGAGAACAAAAAAAAAAAGTTATCAAGAACTTACCTCTAAATCCTGATAGGTCAAAAAACTCAAAATCAAAAATCCATCAATAATATCTTCTTCAGCCAGAGCACTATTTTTTCCGTTCATAATTGGTAATCCACTTTTGAGATCTTCTTCCTCTTTATCATCGGCCGGCCGATGACTTCGATTACTCCCACTAATTTTACGAGCACCCCCCGTCACCCCCTGATCATCCTCTCCCTCCGTACTTTCCTCATTGCTGCAATTCACAGAGCTCAGACGATTTCGAACTTTCTTAAGGGGTCTAGAAGGTTTGGAAGACCCCTTTGTACCACCTTGCTCCCTCACCCTTAGCCGCCTTCCTTCACTCATTTTGAATTTTTATCCTAAATTATGAAAAAAGGGGGACGGATGTCAGGGGGGTATGTGACATCCGAAACACAAGCACATTTTATTATTTATATCCAAAAGGTATTCCAGTTCGATCCTTGCACCACAAACACAGCACACTATTATTTTCTATTTAATTTTCTCACTCAATAATCCATGGTTTGAAACAGAAGAGGAGCAACTTTTTGGGATAGTTGTTGTAATATCCTTTTATAACACGCGGTGAATACTTTTCCTCCTATTGCCAATTGATGCTAACGGTGGGAGAGAATGGTTACTCGGAGACGGAACAGAACGTTTGGAGGGTTTACTTGGCGTTATCTTGGCGAAAGGAGATGGCTCTTATTTCGCCAATGTATGCAGTGAAGTTAGTTTCGGGGGTGTGGAGAGGGGGCTTGTACCGGTATATGGCGATGATTTCTCTCGTCTCTCTAAAATCTCGTCGATACTGGTTTTCGTGTTTCAAGAAAAGAGTGCTGCTCACCTAGAGTGAAATGGGATATTATGATAGAGAAGTTTTTGATTTTTCACGTTTTACTCTTTTTTTTTCGTTCGCCGTAAGGAGATTTTTTTTTTTTCGGTAGGGAAATGGATTTATTTTGTTTTATGATATTTTTTTTCAATACTTGCAATTTTTCAAAAATTAGTTTCATATCTGAAAAAAAACTAGAAGTGATATTTTCATTAAATATAATAAAAATGCATTTTTGAAATATTTTGAGGCAATAAAGGTGTCCATAATTTTCTTTACGAGGTTTTCTGTGAGGAAAAATTAGTTTGCTGCATGCCATACCTTTTTATTCTTATGATTTAATTTTTTTTTTTTTTTTTTTTTTTTTTTTTTTTTTTTTTTTTTTTTTTTTTAAGACACTTATTGAATTAATGTTGTAATTTAAAGATATTTTACAAGAAACCAAAGCATTATACAAATTCTAGTTGTTTTTTCTTCTTCATTTTTCCATGAAAACTGTTTTGTTTTAAAGCATTTTATTCATTCATTTTCTGAAAAATTTATTTCTTATCATGGTAATATCTTGTTAATATCTTTACAATGGCAATCTCTTGATAGAGGTAATATCTTTAAAATTGTAATATCTTTATTTTAATTTTAATAAAAACAAAATTTATTGTCCATTTCAATATATTTAAAAAAAATTACGTAAGCATAGTTGCGCGGCAGGCAAATAAATCCAAAACCTGAGAAGATCCCAAACAAATTTAAAAGAAATGATTGGGATAATTATGCAAGAACCATTTAATAGTTCAGAAAATATAAGAGAGTTAAGAAGAGAGTATAATATTTTATTTAGTAATATATGAAATATAATTAAAATATGAAATTATTATATTAATTTTTATATTTTGAGTGTCGAGTATAGATTGTTAAATTTTTAAGATGCTTACGCAATTCAATAGTAATAGACAGCATAACACTTTTTTTAACGAATGTAATAATAAATTCAAAAAATAGTTTAGTGAAAAACGAGTTTATGGGCCTATGTGATATAACTGCCTCAGGGAGATGATAAAAACGGAGATTTGATCAAAAAATTAAAGGAGATGATAATTTCACGAAAGAGGTCAAAATAACAGCATTGAGCTGCGATGGCTCAGGGGATAGAGCGTTCGCCTTCCAATGAGATGAACCGGGTTCGAATCCCAGCGATGGCTGGTCGAGTCGAATTCGCATCCGGCTTGCACCGACCCCAATACTGACGTGAAATATCCTCAGTGGTTAACGGATCATGCGTTAGAGTCCCTTTGCCATCAGGCTAACCGTAGGAGGATTTCGTGGTCTTCCTACCCATGCAACGCAAATGAGGGTTAGTTCCATCAAAAAGTACTCCACAGTGGTAAATTTTTCCCAATACTTGATCCAGGAGTTCCCTTGTTTTCTGGATTGGGTTCAAAATTACAAGGCTACGGATTTGAACATTAGTAGTCGTAAACCCAAAAATTGGGTTGGCTGTTCAACGACGGCTATATAAAAAAAAAAAAAAATAATAACAACACTACGAGCCTCGCAGTGCAAGGTCATTTCCCCAAAGCAAGTCAGTGATTTGTTGAAGTCTCTAAACTGCTAATTCAGAAGATAGATGTTATAATCAATGTATTTCATCAGTAATTATTCATAATCGCCTGTTACCATTAATTTTAACCAAGTCAGTCTGTTAGAAATTCGTTTCGAGAAGTCGCACAGAATAGCTCTGAATTAATCATGTTTACTGTTTATAATTAGAAATTACTTATGAAATTTGTTCAATATGGATTTCAACTCATTTAGCTATAAATTTCGGATGTGTATTTGAATGGTAATTTCCTCCGTAAAGTGCCAGACAAAATCAATTGTTTGTTTACTTTGAATGCAGAGGCCCGCACTTTCTATATGTTGTTCTTTTATTCTGCGAATACTTTATGCCAAAAGGTTTTGAATCTTTTTTTTTTATTCTTATAAAGTTTTTATCTTTTAAAGTACTTAACTTTAAAAAAAAACATATTAACTTCGGGTTTTCAAGGCAAATGCATGGCGGGCACAACTTAAGGAAATATCAGGTAGTGGTATTTGACCTTAAAAAAACATCAGTTTAGGGTAAAACGGGCAATGACACTTCCATCTCTTAATTAGTACTATTATTAAAAGTAATAAGCAGCTATTATTATAATTATCCACCTCCATGCATTGATATTTTCATAATTTTTTTCTAGCGATATTAAAATTTATTATCTCAAAATTTAAAAATTTATTTTTCATCAGTATATATTATGATATATAGAAAAAAAAACAATCACAAATTGAACTTTTAAAGCTATTATTTTTAACTAAAACATAAGTAAAAACCCGTTTGTTTATTATATTGTAAAAATTATTATAGCATGTTTGTTATTTTAGAATAGTTGCTTATATATTTTGTTTATTGTTTATATATTCATAATAGTATGTTCATATATTTTTTTTATTCCATCTTTGTTATTTTCATCCAATTTCTTCATTTCATCATTCTTTTCATTAAAAAGGTAAAAGGATTTTATCAAACCTCTTACTCTTTTTAGGGAAATGAACTCACCGACTTATTATTTTAAAATTTTTGGTAAATTGATAATCTCTTTTAGGGATTTGGGATCAAATCTAAACTAAGCTTTTACCATTTCCTTGTTACATATATATATATATATATATATATAGGCAGTAAGAGTTTTGTAACGTTCTATAAGGAATAAAAAGGTCTTAAGGTCTAAAAATTTTAAAAAATAACTAGCATCAGTGTCTTCTACGATCATTGATGCCCGCAACTTTTTCAAATTAAAAACTGTTGCCAACGTAAGCGTAACATTTAGGAGTAATATTTTTTGAATATGAACTTTCTAATAAGAAATGTGCACGCACATTTGTACATCTCGCAGCGTATTTACTTGTTTATTACGAATAACTTATTAAAAATATGAAACCAATTCAATGACATTTATCAAACAGTTTGATTTTTTTCATTCGAAAACAGTCACTGGAATATATGATTTCCAGAGTAGAACTTTATGTAGGTATCATCTAACAATCACCTAAATAAATCAGATGCCTGAAAAAATTTGAAAACAGTTTTAATAAATCCGTATCTTGCCTTAAACATGTTAGCACAGCCATAATCTTCTATGAAATATGCGGTCAGCGATATTCAATTTCTTGTTTTAAAATTCATAATGCTACCTCGAGAAAAAAATTTTAGTTTTCCGTAATGTTTGGGAAAGACATTTTTGATAAAAAAAAAGCTGTAATTCTGGTAATAAATTCAATATATGTGGGGCTTAAACCATTTAGATTGTAACGATTTACTTAAAACTCTGGTTTAAAAAATTATAGTTCTTATTACTACACAGTTAGTAAAATACAAAAATGTAAAGTAAATTCATCCAAATGAATGATTTTAATATATGATAGCTTAAGAAATTTATCAAATTTTAGTACACTTACCCAAATTTATCTCACATAATAAAACTATATTTTGATATTAAATTTTCCAAAATCATTAGTGAATCGATTCGGTAAGAATTACCGTACTTTTTGGTGTTCCCATAGAGCCAGAAACACTGTACATTTTACCATATTTTGGTAGTTCTGATAATACTTTTTACTCAGTGTAGTGGGCCCCTCCCCGCGCTCGCTGACGGTCCTCAACCCCCGAAGATTGCTATGCACTCTCATATAGTTAGCTCTCTCCAAAACATGCTTTTGTCTGTCTGTACTATTTTTAGATCAGTTTTTTGCATTTATTTCAATATAAACTGTACCTTAGAGCACGGCATAAAAACTATTTATTCAATCCAATTTACTTTTCAATTTACCAAATGAATTGCTTAAACTTGGTAAAATTAACAATAAAGTGCGGTTTTCTTTGATAAATTGAGTAAATACGGTAATTTTATAATGAAACCCTAGAGCAGTGATTCTCAACCTTTTTCGGGGGGCGGCACACTTTTAACAATTTCAAAATTTGACGGCACACAATGAAAAAAATTAGTTTGAAAGTTGTTTACTTAACTATAATACACTGTGTTAAATAGTTTGTGATAATAATTTCGAATGTGATATAAAATAATATGTACTACAATAGCACGTTTATTAAGGGATTAATTATTTCTTTCGTCTAATTTTTAATTAGTTAGTAACAGTTATTTTTTTCTTCTTTTGCTAGTTTGTTAGCTTGTTTTCTATAGCTATTAACTGATATTTCTATAGCTATAAAATGATAATTTTTATTGTATCATTTCTAATATTTGGCGGCACATTTTAAGAATTTTGCGGCACACAAAAGTGCCGCGGCACAGTGGTTGAGAATCGTTGCCCTAGAGTATGAAGGATAAACACTGAATTAAATAAAAACACGTAATAAAGTAACGCAGTAAATAAAATGAATAAAACAGGACTTTTATTCAGTAAAATGTATTTTTCAGTTTTGCTTTTTTTACTAAATGTGTGGTAATTAAGATGTATGATTTTGAAAGTCATAATATACAGTACGTTACCATATGAATGGAAAAATTATCAAATGAACGGTTTGAATAACATATATTTTGGTTTTATTAACCAGAATTATGTTTTCTTACATTTTACCAGAAATGTCATTACCATACAGTACTGTAATTTTACCAGAATTGTTTTCTTCATGTAATTAAATAACTAAATATTTGGAAATGAAAATAATTTTTTGAGAAATATCCTAACTTTAAATCTAACAGATGAACTCATCTTTTATTTCAATTTATGATTACA